TGCCCTTTGTCAAAAATAAGTTGGCCATGCATTGGGTTTATTTCTGGATTCTCTATTCTGTTGACTGGTTCATGTATCTGTTTTGGGGCCAGTATCATGCTGTTTTGGTTATTATAACTTTGTAATATATTTCAACATCAAGTAGCGAGATGCTTCCAACTTTACTTTGTTAAAATAATATTTCTGGTTTTATGAGATCTCTCGTGATTCCAGATAAATTTTGTGATGATTTTTTCTAAGTCTATGAAGAATGTTTCTGGAATTTTAAAAGGACATGGACTGAATTTGTAGGTAACTTTGGTAATATCAGCATTTTAACTATGTTGCTTCTTCCAAATCATGAACAGAGAATGTCTTTCCTTCTTTTGTGTGTCTTTTTCAATTTCTTTATTCAGATTTTTTTGTTTGTAATTTTTATAGTAGAGCTCTTTTATTTTAGTTATATTTATTACTAGATACTTTATTTTTGTTTGACTTCTGTAAATAGAATTGATTTCTTCATTTTTTTCAGTTTCCTCATTATTACAGCATAAAAATGCTAAATATTTTAATACATTGAATTTTTTACTCTGCAACTTTGCTAAATTTTTTATTACCTTTAAGAGTTTTTTTTTTTTTTTTTGAGAGGTTTTTGCTATAGGGCGCGTGCGCTCGCCAGACAGAGAGACATAGAGACAGAAAGCGAGAAATCACCCCCCAGAGGGGATGGTCACGCCCCAATCCCTTCTCCTCCATTCTCCTCTCGGGATCTTGGGCACGCACGCACACGCGCCTGGCGTGAGTTTTAAGCCACCGGGTCCAGGATGTGAACCGCAGTAGACTATGTGGGAATCCAGCAACATAGCCCTTACGCTAACTGCTGGTTCCCTTACCTTTAAGAGTTTTATCAGTTGATTCCATAGGTTTTTTTTTTTAGGGAAAATTACATTCTAATTTGGATGTTTTTCATTCCACTCTCTTGTCTGGTTGCACTGGCCAGGACTTCAATGCTAGACTGAATAAGAGTGGAGAAAGTGAACATCCTCATCTCATTCCAGTTTTCAAATTGTTCCAGAAAAGTTTTCTAACTTTTCCTCATTGAATGATTTGTGAGTTTGTCATATATGGCCTTTATTGTGTTCAGAAATGTCCTTTCTATACTTATTTTGTTGAAAGTCTTAGTCATGAGTGGATGTTGTACTTTATCAACCACTTTTCCTTTGACAGGTGATGTGATTATATCATTTTCGTCTCTCCTCTTGTGAATGTGATGTATTACATTTACAGTTTTGTCTATGTTGAACCATCCTTTCATTCTTGGGTCAAATACTACTTGGTTATGGTGTATAATATTTTTAATGTGTTCCTGGATTCAATTTGCTAGTATTTTGTTGAGGATTGTTGCATCTCTATTCATGAAGAGTATTGATCCATAATTGTTGTTGTTATTGTGTCTTTGTCTGCTTTGGATATCAAGATAATGGCGGCTTCATAGTATTCTCTCCATTGGGATCTTTTGGAATAATTTGAGACTAACTGGTGTTAATTCTATTTTAAATGATTTGTAGAATTAAGCTCTGAAGCTTTCTGAACATGGACTTCTGTTTGTTGGGAGACTATTTTTTACTGGTTATCTCTCATTTCTTGCTATTGGCCTATTCAGGCTGTCTGTATATTCCTGATTCAATCTACGTATGCTATTTGTGTTCATAAATTTGTAAATCTCTTCAGAATGTTCCAACTCATTAGGATATAGTTGCTTGAATGTTAATAGATTAAATTATCCAATTAAAAGAGACTAGGGACCTGCAGATGATGTAATAGTTATGTCCCTGAACTCCCACATAGTCAACCACGGTTTGAGACCCAGACCTGGTGGGAACTTAAACTCCTGCTGGGCATGTATATGTGCATGCCCAAGAACCCAAGAGGAGAACAGAGGAAAAAGGATTGCAGTGTGACCGTATTCCCTGGGGGTTGATTTCTTACTTTCTGTCTCTCTGGCGAGTGTATGCACCCTATAGCAAAAATTCTTTCTCGGGGGACCAGCAGTTAAACGTAATGACTATGTCGCTGGACTCCCCTGTGGTCGACCGTGGTTCGCATCCCGGTCCCGGTAGCTCAAAACTCACGCCGGGCGCGTGTGCGTGTGTGCCCAAGATCCCGAGAGGAGAATGAAGGAGAAGGGATTGCGGCATGGCCATGCCCCGAGGGGAGATTTCTCGCTTTCTGTCTCTCTGTCTCTCTCTGTCTGACAAGCGCACGCGCCCTATGGCAAAAACCTGTAAAAAAAAATTCTTTCTCTAAAAAAAAAAAGAAAGAAAGACACAGACTGGCTGAATGGATTGGGAAAAAAAATGGAGGTTTCTATCTGCTGCTTAAAGAAACACAACTCACTGATAAAGACATACATAATTTGACATTGAAGGGTTAGAAGAAGATATTCCAAGCAAATAGAAACCAAAAGAAGACTAGAGTAGGGACCAGCAGTTAGCGTAATGGCTATGTCGCTGGACTCCCACATAGTTGACCGCGGTTCAAGTCCCAGATCCAGTGGCTTAAACCCACGCTGGGTGCGTGTGCGTGCGTGCCCAAGATCCAGAGAGGAGAATGGAGGAGAAGGGATTGCGGCATGGCCATCCCCTCTGGGGGGTGATTTCTCTCTTTCTATCTCTCTGTCTCTCTCTCTCTGGCTGGCTAGCGCACGCTCCCTATAGCAAAAACCTTTCCAAAAAAAAAAAAAAAAAAAGGCTAGAGTCATGACACTGATACAAAACAGACTTCAAGACAAAATCTGTAAAAAAAGAGACAAAGAAGGACACTATATAGTACTAAAAGGGCTAATTCATCAGGAACATATAACACTCATAAATATCTACACACCCAACATTGGAGCACCCAAATATGTGGAAGAAAGATGGCTAGATCTAAAGGGAGAGATAGACTGCCGCAGGATAATTGTTGGGGACCTCAATAGCCTACTGTCTTCTCTGGACAGGTCATCTAGACAAAAAATAAACAGAGATACAGGACCTAAATGAAACCATAAAACAAATGGAACTGACAGACATCTATAGAATATTTCACCCAACAACCGCAAAATATACATTCTTCTCATCCCCACATGGAACATTTTGAAAGACTGACTACATGATGGGGCAAAACACAAGCCATTAAAAATTGAAAGGTACAGAACCATATCTAGCATCTTGTCCAACTACAATGGAATTAAATTTGAAATAAACTGCAGAAAGGACCCTCAAAAATATACAAGCATATAGGAACTAATCAACTTACTCCTTCACAACCACTAAGAGATTTAGACTGAAATCAAAAGCTTCATTGAAATCAGTGAAAATGAGCACCCAAGCTTCTATAACCTATGGGACACAGCAAAAGCAGTCATCAGAGGGAAGTTTATAGCAATTAGTGTTCACAAGATAAAAAATGGAAAGGTGGCTAGTAGAAAATCTAATGACACATCTGGGGAGCTGGAAAAACAAAATCCCCAAAAACATACCAGGAGAAAAGAAATAATTAAGATTAGATCATAAAGAAATAAAATAGAGAATAAATGAACTGTAAAAAAAAATGAAATCAAAAGCTGGTTCCTTGAGAAGATAAGCAACATTGACACACCATTAGCTAGCCTAATCAAGAACAGAGAAAGAGAGCAGATCAATACATCGGCAATGACGCAGGCAACTTTACGACAGACTAAACAGAAATGCGAGAGAGCATGAGAGAATACTACGAGCTGGTATACACCAACAAACAGGAAAAACCTGGATGAGATGGACAAATTTCTGAACAGGTGTAGTCTACCAACACTGAATCAGAAAGGCACAGAGAGCCTGAATAGACCCGTATCGGACAATAAGATTGACTCAGTAATAATCTTCCAACACAGAAAAGTCCAGGTCCCAATGGCTTCACTTGTGAATTCTACAAAACTTCCAAAGCAGAGCTACCCCCAATACTGCTCATCCTATTTCTAAAAATCCCAAAGGGAGAAACCCTCCCAAATTCATTCTCTGAAGCCTCCATAATCCTCATCCCCCAAACAAAGACATAACAAAAAAAAGAAAACTACAGACCAATATTCTTGATGCATACAGATGCAAAAATTCTCAGCAAATACTAGTAAACTCTATCTAATAGTATAATAAAAATATACACCATGAACAAGCAAGTTTTATTCAAAGAATGCAGGGGTGGTTTGACATACACAAAACAATAAATGTAATACATCACATTAACAGAAGGAAATAGTAAACCCAAATGATTATACCAATCAATGCAGGAAAAACCTTTTACTAAAATACAACATCCCTTTAAGATGGGAGTTAGTCCTCACTTACAGGTAGATGGGGTGAGGGCCCTGAAGGGACGTTATTGTGTTTTTCTTTTTAATGAAGTTTCTGTTTTTCCTGTATGGTCTGGTTAATGTGCAATATACAACCCTTTTACAAATCTCTAAAGAAGTTGTGACTCCTTGCTAAAGAGGCAGGAGATAGGGATATTGAGCACCGAGATGGAGTCACAATGGCTAAGTTTTTTCCTGTTTCTTGTATCCTTGGGTTGATGAAGCATTTGATGACGTCCTTACTTCTCCCTAGCTTCTGGATATGTTTTGGTAGTGGCAGTATTTAAGTTTGTTTTTCTTATCTGGGTTTTTATTTCTTGAAGATCTTGTATATTTTCAGAGGTCCCAATAGGGACAGTGGGTCCTCTGAGCCAGTGTTTTGGGGCTCTAGGTGAGGTCAGTATTACGCACTGGTGTTCCACCTGATAAGGGAGTAGATTTCCTCAAATTAGTGCCCTCCCGTGTGGTTGCCTGAGTGCTCAGACCCTGAGTGGGAAGAAGAGTCTTCCTCTGGGGAATGTAGACAAATAAAAATAGCAGCTGAAAGTAAGTAGTGACCCCTCTGCCTTGGATGGGTTGAGCACAGGAAGGATGTAAGTGTTGGTTGAGAAGTGGTGACTCAGGAGGTGGCTAGTTGTGCAGTCAGTCGTGTGCAGGCGGTGGAGATGAAGGAAGCTGCTACAGCGCCTGAGCCTCTCCACAGCCACAGCAACTCTTGGCAGCTGAGTTGATGCAGGTGGGCACAGCAGGAGTTGTTGTACAGGAGGGGGCTAGGCACACCCTCCTGCTGGGCTGCAAGCCTGAGTGGGAACTGTGCCCTACTGCTGTGCACCTTGGGGGCTGGCCCGGTTCTGCTGCAAGTCCGTGTAGCTCAGGTGGGGCTAGAGTTGCTCTGCCCACTGGGGCCCAGGACCAGGCTTGTGAAAATGCCACAAACTGTGTTTCCTCTGGGCAGCCTGGCCTTTGTTGCCTGTGTGTGTGTCTTTGCACCTGGGAGACAGCACTGGAGCTATTGCACGTGTGCGGGACAAGGAGTTGGGCCTGAATTTGAGTCTGCTCAAGCCTCTGCCTGCACGTCTCAGGTAGCACAAGCTGAGTGCTTACCCAGCTGTCTGCTGCAGGCAGAAGCTGGAGCTGGGCCTGGCTCCAGCCAAGAGCAAGCTTCCCAAGCCGGCCTGTGAGACCTGGCTCCTGGGGCTGCTAGCAAGTTGGATGACCGCTAGACCACACCCCTCAGAGGGGAGATCCCTGACACCCTCCTCCTCTTTGTCAGCCCGCTGCACCCACTCCTCTACACACACTTAACTATTCCAGGAAGTCTAGAGAAGCTGCTCTAGAAAGCGTAGCCTAGAGAGGGCTAGCCGCTGCTCCTGGTGTTGGGGAGACTGGGGAAGTGGCATGTAGTCCTGTCAGTAAACTGGGGGGGCTGGAGAAATGTCTGGATTAGGCTCCCAAGGTGGGACTGTGTGCCTGGGCTCGAGGTGGCATCAGGGAGCTGGGAGCTGGAAGGGAGTCCGGCTGCCCTCCCCTAATGGGCGGCCCCAGCTCCTGTCTGAGTGCAGAGATCGACTTTTTCTTACTTCCACTTGACCCTTGGTACCTTCAGAACCACCATGCCCTGCTTCTGTGCTCTGTGGGTCTCACCTCACTCCTCTGCTCCAGAGGCAGCCACCATCCAACCCTTTTGGACTTCCCACCAGAGAGTTGGCGCAATGGATGTCCACGGTCTGTCGTCTCGTCCTTCGTTCAGTGCTCTGATTCCGCGCTACTGTAATTCTACACTTAAGAGAAATTGCTAAAAGTTTACATTTTTTCCCAAGCTCACAAACATTGGAAGAACCCTGACACATATTACCAAAGTGCCTTCTAGGAAGTGGCTACAGTTTGCAGTTCTATCATCTGCAAGTACATTTAACAATGCCTTTGACAGACCCAAACGTCATTTTTTGAAAATTTACTCTGGTAGCTTAAATTGGCTTTGCTTTTTTTGGAGAGATTTTAGCTATAGGGCACATGCGCTCGCCAGAAAGACAAAGCGAGACAGAGAGACAGAAAGCGAGAAATCACCACCACCACCCCCCGGGGGGGGGGGTGGGCCACCCGTCATCCCTTCTCCTCCATTCTCCTCTCGGGATCTGGGGCATACACGCACAGGCACCGGGCATGGGTTTAAGTCACCGGGTCCTGGACTCAAACTGCAGTCGACTACATGGGAGTCCAGCGACATAGTCATTACACCAACTGCTGGTCCCTACTATTATTAATTTAATATAGGGCCTGTGTACTCTCCAGAGAGAGAGACAGAAAGAGAGAGACACAAAGACAGAGAGTGAGAAAGCAAGCTGTCAGGTCCTGGACTCGAACCATGGTCTTAACCACCACGCCATCTGCTGGTCTGTGAACTAAACTTTTTATGCTTTTTGTTCACTTTTCTATTGAGGTGTTAGTCGTTTACTTATTGAGTTAAATTTTTTCTTCGTATAGTAATGTTATAGAACATCCCTAGAAATTTCGTTATATATAAGTAGCTTTCTATAAGTATTTGTTATGTTTTACTTAGGGAGTCTTTTCATTTATTTATAAATGACAGAACATGGATATCACATGGGTCGGGTAAATGTGGTCTGGGAGGAGTGAACCATTTAGGTCTCATTCCCACTCCGCGGTCTCCACATGGTTTCTGTCATGTTTCTGGTCTGCCAACCCTCGTATCTGCCATTTCTGAGGGGGGAATTTGAATTCTTCCACTCAGATAACCTGAGATGGAAGGTGAGAACTTTCTTCAGCCATTTCACTGGAGCAGCCAAAACTGTTTGGTTAAATAATTAATAGAAAAGTAATACAAAGGGATTTTCGTAAGTGATCTGTTTCTTTGTCCTGATTCAACACGTCTTGACCACAGACATTGTAGTCATTGCAGAGAAGAACACGATACCTGGGTGAGAGTAAGGACGTCTTCGTTTTTTGTGCTCTTGCTGTTTCTCTGATTGGGGTCTGTTTTTCTGAGCCCTGCGGAATCTTTCTCTGCAGTGGACTTTTGCAAGTCAGTTCACGCTGTGAGCCTTGATTTTCTCACCTTAGATATTGAGACACAATACAAGGCACTACACAATATTTGGGACATACTTTTTCTAAAAAAAATGTAGTCATGATGAGCTCAAATTTAGCTGGGTTTCCTGCATGTTTATTTGCAACTGTTTATCTAAGGTCTATTTCAGGCGACAAATGATGACTGGATGCAGGACCACAAAATGTAGTCCGCTCTCAAGGCACTTTGCAGTCTGGGTAACCTGGAACCCATGCGGCAGGGCATACCACTGTCCCGGGAAGACTACTGCACAGACAACATGGAAGGAAGTATTGGGGACGCCTGGGCTGGCCAGGGAGCTGTTTGGCCCTCCAGGGCACTTCAAGTAGAATTTGAAGACAGGTAAGATGTGCAAGCAGGATTGGAGAGACAATAATAAAAGAGACTAGGATTAGAGGGAATGACAGACGGTGAGTTCCAGGAGAGGCGAGGGTTTGATTCCTCAGTCGTCTCAGGACAGAGATGGCAAACAGCTTTCCACTGGCGTGTCTGATCTGAGTACTTAGCCCCGGGCTGTGTCCTGGCTTGGGAGAAGTACTGTGATCGAAAACCAAGACTTCCTTGGCCACATCGTCCCCATTTACACATGAGTAAACCATTAGAATTTCATTTTTTTTTTTAGAGGTTTTTGCCTTGGGCACATACACTCTGAGGGGGTGGGGTGGGGAGACAGAGATAGTGAGAGGGAAAGTGAGAAATCATTCCCCCAAGGGGGGACGGCCACATCACAATCCCTTTTCCTCCATTCTCCTCCGGGGAGCTTGGGCACGCTCCCACACACATCCAGCATGATTTTCAAGCCACCTAGTCCAGAACTCAAGCTGCAACTGGCCACGTGGGAGTCCAGTGACGTAACCGCTACACCATGTGCTCGTCCCAGGATTTCAGATTTTTAACATCATTTGCTTCTGAGTTTAAACAGTAGTTTCATTCCACAACTACTCTTTTTTTTTGGGGGGGAGGGGGATGTCTTTTAATAATAACTGTCAGAATCACTCACAGACTATTTTTATACATAAATAATATTCTGGTTTTGTGCTTGCTATAAAGACCAAAGAACACAGTCCTTTAAACTCTCATCAAGGTGGTAGGATATATGCATATGTAGAATGATAAAGAGTTGGCATGTGGACGGAATAAAAACCGCCATCCACCTACAAAGGGATAGAGGTCAGAGTGGAGGTCAGGGGGGCCAGAAGGAAATAGACAGCCTCAGAGGAAAGTGGTCTTCGAAGGTGAGTGGGATTGCAGAGGCCATGTGAAATTAGAAATGGTCAGGACTGGGGTGTCATATGGAGATGGAAATACCATGTGAGGAGACTCCGAGCAGGTGTGACCCCTCGGCGAGGAGCGATAGCATGGTGAGGACATTGGCACACCATGCAATGCCCAGGCCCCTGATGGCACATGAGAGGGGTCGAGGCTTGCAGACACTTGGAGTCATGCCAGTTTAAAACCTCTTACCTGAAATTCTCAACTATGTGGAGAAGTCGGAAGAATGGTACAATGAATACTTACATACCCATCACCCAACTTTAATCATTGCTAACGTTTTCTTCTAAACCATTTGAAAGCAAGTTGTAGGCGTCATGACACTTGCACCCTAAATCCATAAGCACCCACATCCCCGAAACATCCTAATGAGGATCTTCTGCTCTACTGCCCGTCACGGTCGTCCCTAACAACACGGACAATGGTCCCCTGTTATCTTCTAATACCCGGACCAGGACATTTCCCCAAGGGTCCCCAAATGCCTTCTGTGGTTGGTTCTTTAAACCAGTAGCCTATTTAGGTTCAGGTTATGATTCTGAGTTTGATTTCATTTTGAGCATGTCCTCCACGGTTTTCCCTTTTTCTTAGATGACCAAGTGGTCATCTAATAACATTCCCATATCTGATTTTATTAGTATTATTGTTTCATTTTAGTGCTGTCAAACCCTGCCTCTACCCCCTTGATTTCCTACCACTTTAGTAAGACCTCACATTCCAGCCTAAGTAGGAATGTCTTCCTGTTCATAATGGTTGATCGAGTCCTTTTTTACACCCAGAAGTGCCCTAGTTTGGATCATTAATCGTATGTTTACACTATATAAAATGAAAGTTAGGTCTAAATGTTGGTTAAATCGAGATTAAGCATTTGCGGCAAGAACACTTGGCAGACCAGTTGTCCTTAGCTTTGTGTCACCTCAGGAAGCACTGTGGGCGGTGCTGGACTCCATCACGTGATTAAGGTAGACACGCCAGCTCCCAGCGCTGGGAGGTCCACTGTGTGCTCAGTCCCAGCCTCTGAGATGAGACTTTGACACTGTGAGGTATCTCTGGACTCTGATCTTCCCGGACCACATTCCACTTGCTGCTTTTGATGTTCCTAGCCTTAATTGCTGGGACCATGCAGTTAACACAAGCTGAGTATGAAAGAACTGCCCCTCATGCCTAAGAGCAAGGACTCGGCTGAGGACAACTATTTGCAAGGTTAACAGTTTTTCGAGTTTTGATCCTCCACTGTGTTGTTGTACTACCCTGCACTCAATTTCTCTGCCATGGGCCTTATTGCCGTACCCCGTTACCCCATAAAGGCACCCCCTGCCTTACTATGACTTTTACAATAATCTTAAAGGAATGCGGATCCACTAAGGCAGCAGCTGCGAACGGGGGTTACTCCTGTTAGACTCACCCCACCCTCCTGGAAAATATTAATAAAGAATGCTACATTTACTTCTCCTACTGGGGATCACATAGATAAGCATTAGGAAGGTTTAGGTTAAAGCTACTAATTGGCGAAATGATTTCAGTAGTCGGGAGGGGCTCAGGGACTCATCCACGAGGTGCTATTACCCCAAAAACCATAAGCCGCCCTTACTCTCAAGACAAGAGAAGACTGCCGTTCCCCAAGCCACAGCCATTGTATAGAGCAGCATGTAGAGGGTCCCAAGTACGCAGTAACCTTTAGATCAGTCATTAAGCTGCTCACAAGACCACATTTCTTTTCCCATGTAGACATTAGACTCACCTTCTTAGCTGTAGATTACCCCAGAGATAGCATAGGTATTCCACTTTAGTATATACTAACCTTGTCTTTACTAAACCAGACAGGATTTATTTCCAGGCCCTTGTAATTGCTACTACCTTAGCCTGAGGCCGAAGTTCTCAAAAGCTGACCTGGGGCTCAAGTTCTCAAGCCAATCTGGGACTGAGGTTATTAAGATTCCTGGGAGCCCTCTCATCCAAAGACCCTCCCTGGTAATCAAGACCTAAGAAGAGAATGCACCCGAAAAATGGACTTCCTCATTCTAAGAATTATGACTGTTTATACCTAAACAAAACAGACGTCATGTTTTATGATTATTGTTCTTATATTTTGAATGCTTTACCTTTTGGAGTAAAATCCTTCACTTATTTCCCCTCACCCATCCTTCCCCTGTAAAACCCCTTCTATAATAAATATGCATGACTCCTGGCCACCAGGGTTGCAGTCCTGAGTTTACTCTGGCTGTAGCCGGCTGAGAACATGCTAAGGGGCATTGAGGTCTTGGCCTGACTTTGTTCACCCGTGTAGCCTTCCTGTGCCCCCCACCCCCACCCCGGCACGGCTTCCGGCACTTAATGATCGATCTGGGGTTGCAAAGTGGTGATTTTCTAATTCTATCAAGCTTCCTACAGGTATTAGTCAGCATTCTTTTGCAAAAATTGAGGAGGAATTTCAATTCCTTCTAGAAATGGCAGAGTAAATGCTTGATTCCTCTAAATGTCCAACTGACTCCATTTTTAAAATGTCCAAGTATGGAGTTCATGGAAGAGTTACCTCCAATATTGGGAAATGATTTTGGTTTTTGGTTTTGTTATCACAGACGAGTGGGTTTTTATATAGTGGATGCTTTAAATTGCAGTGGTTGTTGTTTGGATGCTCGAATTGTTCCCAAGCTGCCTGCCAGAACCCCTATGGAGGACTTCGTCCTGTGTCCTGACACACCTGTGGTCTCTGAGTGCTCCTCGCTTCTGCACGAGATGTGCCAGTTCACCCCACTTTCCTCACCTCGGGCCCGAAATAAGCCTCTTCTTCAAGGAAGCCATGGCTCTTTATAGTGGGAAATCTGTATTTTCCTTTATATAATTATGATTGAGCATCTGTTCATGCGTTTAAAATCTGGAATGTAATTGCTTTGTCTGAGACTTTCCGTGTTTGGGGCTGAAAATCATGAGTTCAGATCGTTCCAATTAAATTCAACATGCCTCGGTGTTTTTTCCCTTTGATTTCATATTTGCATTTTTTTCTCCTATGGCAAAAAAGTCTTGGTTCCTACTAATTTTTTCGTGATATGAAAAAAAATCACAGTGCATATTTTATTACTAAAAATAAAAATACAGAGTGAAGTTTGAGATTTCCTTGCAGTTATTTTTATTCTTAGGGTCTGTTTCACGGAGGGTGCACAGAAGATAAGTTTAAAAGTCATTTGAGGGGCCAGCAGGTGGCATGGAGGTTAAGGCACTGGATCCCACGTAGCCAACTGTGCAGTTCAAGTCCCGGACTGGAAACTTGACAAACACCCAGGGCGTGAGTGCGTGCGTGCCTGAAATCCTGAGAGGAGAATGAAGGAGAAGGGTCTGCAGTGTGGCCACTCTCTCCAGAGGGCGGTGTCTTACTCTCCTCCTCTCTCTCTCTCTGTCTCTCGTCTCCCACAAACATGTGCCATATAACAAACAAACAAACAAAAGGTCACTTGAAATAATTTTATTCTTTGAGATATATTACCATTTCAATTCATCTGTTTGGGTTTACTTTTAAGGTTTGGTTATTTTCTTCTTGTTTTAGCTTTATTCTTAGGACCTGTCAATCAGTAAATCTAGTTTAAAAGTCAAAACTCCAGCAAATTCAGAGACTCTATGTACACCCCTTTTGCTGTTGCTCCACGGCCACCCCCCTTCTACCTCCCCCAGGTGACTACTTCTACTAGCCTCTGACTTACCTTCGGACGTTGACTTTTGCAGTAAGTATGTGTGTCTGTCTGTCTGAGCGCGTGTATACCAATTTTATTCAGCCAGCCCTCCACTAGTAGACATCCAGATTTGTTTCCATCTTTTCTTACTGCCAATAAAGCTGCAGTAACTATGTACAGATGTTGCATACACACGTATGTGAAGTTGTACCTTCCAGATTGGGCCCTAACAGGCAAATTCAAGTGATTTTGTCAGGTAGGCCAATGCCCCTCCACAGGAAGAGCGACATTTTGCGTGCGAAGGGTATACGTGCTCAGAGCCTCACCAACGGACTCTCAGCAGACTGGTTTTTACTCATCTAACATGTAGCTATTCTGCGGTGTGGTTATAGTAACCTTTCTCCTGGTGGAAGTGTGACTGAGCATCTTTCCACCCGTTTAAAGAAAGACCTGGGGGAACCAGCAGTTAGCGTAATGGCTATGTCGCTGGACTCCCACGTAGTCGACCACAGTTCGCGTCCCGGACCCGGTGGCTTAAAACTCACGCTGGGCGCGTGTGCGTGCGTGCCCAAGATCCTGAGAGGAGAATGGAGGAGAAGGGATTGCGGCGTGACCATCCCCCACCCTCCCTGGGGGGTGATTTCTCACTTTCTGTCTCTATGTCTGTCTGGCGAGTGCATGCGCCCTATAGCGAAAAGAAAAAAACCTCTCCAAAAAAAAAAAAAAAAAAAA